TATCGATATAAAGGATATTGTCACATCTTATATCTCGTATGAAAATATATCGATATTTTTTAAAAACTCGATATATCGCCCAGCCCTAGTTCTACCTTGTGACTGATGGCCTTCAGATGAGCACCAATTGGTCTCTAGGCCTGTGTGACTGAGAGTTTACTCACTTGACCCTGAAGCGTCACACATCCAAAATAGAAAACAAGTTATTGTCACATGGTTAGACAAGGAAAGACCTCATAAATAATTAAAGCAGCTTTGAAATGAGATCCAGTAGACTTCAGTAAAAGTTTGGAAAATGTCCCTACAAACTTTACTGCTGGGTTTCTGGTCCCATTAACTCATTTTGGATCATTTTCAATGAAAAATATTCCAAAGACTTAATCATGCTATCTTTCACAAGAAGGATTATCCAGGCTATTCTCATTGACTAATGACTTAGCCAATGACTGTGCAGTTTCATAGTCTGATCCGCCCACTTTGAAACTCAAGCACGGTGAAGATGAATATGTTCATCTCAAGGCTTAACAAACCAATGGGTGATGCCACAGGAGCTTCACCCATCTTTTATACTGTCTGCGCTTAGAACAGAGGGGAAACAAGAGCAATCCTTTTTTTATTTTATTTTTTATATTTCTGCATAGTGTATTTTAGTAAGTCAGACACAGATGTATTGCTTATTATATAGCATAATAAATCATAGGCGCCCGTGAGTAACTTCAGAAAATCAGAGTAATGAAATGATAGTGTTAGATGAACTAAAAAAAGTTCTTAACATTTTAATAACATGTGCATAATTAAAGCAGCTTCAAACTCTGCAAGTGTCTCTTCTGCTTGATAGAGAATATTTGTTTTTGTATTATTGAGTCTAGCCAAGGCTGATAAAATAATATTTGAGATCATATAATGGTTAATCTAGAGGTTAAGTTTTGGCAATTAAACAAATGTATTGATGTTATAGATTGCTTAAGGTTGCAACAAAAAAGGGGTTAATTTATGATTTAACTAGTTTATTTACAAAAAGACGTGGGTGGGTGAGCTTTAAGTATGTTGAGACAGCCCAAGTCTCTGCCATTCGGAGGAGAAAGACTATGCAGGTACGCTTCTTATTGAGGTTTCTCATGTGATGCTCGCTGTCACTGGGTGAAATCGACTGAAAAGGAGTGCACCAAAAACCTCCTAGTGATTGCTTTTTTTGCTAGCAGATTCCAATGGTTGCCTGTGGTTTTTCACATTTGTTTGCAAATACTAACCATTAGCCGAGCTACTCTAGTCACTTCAAAGTGAATGTTGTGGCTTT